CATAGCGAAGTTCACAAGCGAGAAATTGGATATAACGATAATATTTTTCTTATCGTCATGTAAAATTATTATTTTCTTTTCCATTGTTTATTATTTTCAACGCGTCTGGAAGGCGGAAATAACGCATATACACGCAACAATAAATCTGCTGCTCTGACGCAGCCAGTACATCTCACGAGTCCTTTTAACTTGCACTGTTTGTGCCATTTAAACTTCGTGGTGCGACTATGTTCCATGTAATTCTGAAGGTCCAGTATTTTGTTTTCGACTTCGCAGAGGGAGATTAATTGGTCGCTCTTTGACACAACAGCTATGAAGGCGTCAAGATCGCGTGATCTCGCATGCGTCAGGATTAGCTGCAGCTTGAAAATATGTTCGTATAAAAAAATTAATAGAATTTTAATAGCTATATATGCGCTCCACGATTGACAGATCGTTGACATCTTCCGTACGAAAAGAAGATAATGTTATATACACGGGGGGAGAGGGGGGGGTCACGATCGTGAGATTAGAGAAAGTGACGATCGATGTTCCTTGTATGCACTGATCACAAATTGTTGACGGGACATTTGTTGCTTTCTTTTTCAGGAAGCAATATTTGCCTGGCTTGCTTGAAGTCGTACAAATGGCGGAAGTCGTTGCACCGACACGTGCGCGAGAGTCCGGAGTGCTGGCCGGTCCTGCTCACTTCCGGCGACGGCGAATTCATTCGACAGATCCAGTATAAGATACAGTTGTACAACTCGAAGAACTGATGGTGGGCCGAGGGCGACGTAGCGCGGTCGCCGAAGAAGAGCGTTTTTTGAACGTTTTGCGCGAGACTTCTTTCTCTCTCTTTCTCTCTCTCTCTCTCTCTTTCTCTCTCTCTCTCTCTCTCTCTCTGTCTTTGTTGTTATTTGGAATATTTTTTTATAAAAATAAATGCTAATATATATTCTGATACAATGTGTGTGTGTGTGTGTATGTGTGCTATTGCTTTGTCTTACACTCGTTAGCGGCACTATCTGGCACAGACAGCGGCCGTTGGCGATTAATGAGTATTAATAAAACGTAAGATCCCGGATTTTCTCGAGTCTCACTCTGATCCGAATCATGTATTCTCGACATATTTTTCTCTCTCTCTCTCTCTCTCTCTTTCTCTCGTTTCCGACACATGATCGATGTACGACGAAGTGCATCTGCACCCGTCGTCTGCAAACGTAGTGATCGTATTCCCCGATTTCCTTCCTCCATGAATGAAATGTCTCTCTTTCTCGGCAAGATGGGTACTAATTGTAAGAGATGAAACTTTATTGTTACTCGTCGACCGCTACAGATACAAGTTATGAAACGTTCCCACTGATATGATGGTCTTTTACAGATTTTCCATTGAGCCAGCCCCGGCGAAATGCATTGCTACACGGTGGATACCGCTGTGACAACTGTCACAGGGTGTACTCTAAATCGTACTCGCTTAATCGTCACCTAAAATTCGAGTGTGGTCACTCACCTCAATTCCACTGTCCTCACTGTCCATTCAGAACGAAGAGGAAGATCAATTTGGACTACCACGTCGCTCGCAAGCATCGTTTCAACAAGCAGGACCTCGTCTGACGACGGACGCGGGACACGGACGATTAACTCGAATGGATAGTACCTCGAGACATCATTGCGTAATTGTACATATAATCCGAATAAAGAGATATTTCTCGCTGCAGCCGCGTGCATCTTAACGTGCATTTACTCGGCAAATTGTATATTCGACGTAGAAGAAAGTGCCTTGATTTTCTTTTTATTTTTTTTTTTTCAGTAACTACTCGTATTACATTGTACTACATATAATCATATTTATACATTTCTATATATATATTATCATGTCATTGCTGCATATTGTGCGTAGACGAAGAGAATAAATGTGCCTTTTTTGACACAATCATAATGCGATCATCTATACATCCGTCAGTTCGCAAGTATCTTTTTTTCTCACTTATACTTCTGTCATTCTAACGTATGGTATCACGTAATTTGCGCTGACGAGAGGAGACGGTTACGGTTTCACGATAGCTAATCACTGTGCAAACTGTAGCCGCGCGCTCTGTCAAGGGCTCTGTCAAGGGTGTGATTTCTTGCTGCGGATACATCTCGCCAATTTCGATTGCTATACACTGAGAGGAAAAAAATACTTAAAAAATGAAAGATATTCACAGTAGATATTAATAATACATATTTACTTATATCAATACACATATTTTTAGACTGAGAAAAAATTTGTTTCAAACAAGAAAATATATATTTTCTTATAGTTTTACATGCTCGTAAAAAATGGTTTTCTCTATTTTTCGCGATTCTTTGCGGTTTATTTTTGCAAAAAACGTGAAAAAAGTTTTTTCCCATGGATTTTTCGTGAAAAAATTGAAAAAGCGGTTTCTTAAAACTATACCTCTTTTTAAATCTGTGCTTCACATGAAAGTAACTGTTTGTTCTATTTGAATAAAAGAATTTAGATCTAAATAAATATGTTATTAGTACATATGAAAAAATATTTTCTATTTTTTGGATATTTTTTCTCTCAGTATATATGAATCATTCATTATCACCTGTCACTTTGCATCTTTGCGCGTGAACTGCAATAGAAAAATCATTCGGAGCTCTCATCGTTTTTCGCTCGAAGCTCGGCTGGCATGATGGTGAATTATAACGTAAGTATTCTTTCGATGGACGGAGAAAAGGAGATTCCTCTTCTGCGATCTATCCTGCATTCTCGATACAAAGCTGCAGTCGGTAGGAAGCCCTGCCGGCGGGAATTCCCGAAACGAGACCTCATGCGATCGCCGCTTGTAGATCATCAGGACATGTACTAAGATGCTACCTTGAAACTTCTGTTTCAGGTCATCCCGTCAGATTCACCGCGGTCTTCAAGAAACCTTTTCCCTGCAGGCACTGTGATCGCAGCTACAAGAACAAGAGCTCGCTGAACCGCCATATGCAGTACGAATGCGGCAAGGAGAAGCAATTCATTTGTCCGATCTGCCAACGAAGGATGATCCAGAAGAGCAGTCTGCACCAACATATGCTCGCTGTCCATGGGATTTGAGTACGGGAGAACGATTGGAAAATGATCCGTTCTCGTTATTCCTTGTTTCCACAATAATAGTTCTTTTTTTCCTTGTCTCAATATTGACTGTCTTTTTTCCTTCAGCAAAAATATCGATGAACGTGGTCTGATTCGTGTTTACTTGTTTGAACGAGCAAGTGATAAATTGGACAAGCAGACTATGTCCGCCGTTGATTTATTACTTCGTTAATCTGTGTGTAATATACATATATATACATATATATATATATATATATATATATATATATATATATGTGTGTGTATGTATGTATGTATGTATATGTATGTATGTATGTATATATATATATATATATGTATGTATGTATGTATGTATGTATGTATGTATGTATATACACATATATACACATAATATTTACAAACATATGCTTTTGTATATGTATGATTATATACCGTAATTTACGTTATACATAAATTTTCTCTGAGTACAAGAGTGAATTCCTTTTATCGTACATTTGCACTGTACATTGGTCTAGATTTAATGGCCGCGAGATCGTCTTATGTCGTTACATTCTGTTTTTATGGGTATCTTGTTTGGATGGTTGGAAAGTGGTGTTTTCTCTCACATTCAAAGGGAAAGGCTGGAGAGCGGAAGGAGGTATCCGTGATTTGTGAGAACGCATTGCAAATTCGATTGTACACCACGGTCGTCACGGAGACAGAACAAGACTCGTCGTTGATAAAGCTTGTGTCGGGCGCGTCATTCCAATTGATCGTCTGCGAAACGCGCGCACGCGGTCTCCGGGCCATGGAGGAACGTTGTTGAATGTTTGCGAATTCTCGACGCGATTGCTCAGGGCCTCCTTTTCGTCTCCGCCGTTCCCGTCTCTCACGCAGTTTTCTTCACGCCTCTTCACACAAACACGAACCTTTGGCAAAATTTGATCCTGGGCGCACCTATCTTCGGGGCTATTGGCTGATACGTTGTGTGGTGGGTTGGTTACGGGTTTTAATCTCACTGATCTCTTTGCCAGTCACATATATCCACACGTTGACAGAATGCTCCCTCTATTCCTATCTTCGCGTCTTTACTGTTGAAATCGAAAACGACTCCGATGACCGTTTCCCGAGGTCTTCGAGTTAGATCATATTCGGCTCGCGGCAAAGCTATTTTACGAAGGGGACCGATCATTGGGAAAGCATACGAGATCGACACTCAAAGAAAAATATAATGACATAAGTGACAACTATATGAGTTTCGTATAGTAGAATTAACGCATATAGTTTAATAAACTATTTTATAGTTATTGAAACTATATCTGGATACCTATCATGGAATTGTTCGAAATCGATTTCGATTGAAATCGTTCAATTATTTCCTACAAAATCCAAGAGAAAATCTGGGGAATAACTAAAAGATTCCGATCAGAATCGATTCCGAACAGATTCATAATAGGTACCCTGAATGGTTACGATAATTATATCCAGGAAAAAAACATTCCTTATATAATTAGATATAATTATATATAAGGCATCATATATAGAATATGTCAATATATAATAATATAATTATATATGAAGTGGTGATACAATTATACATAATTATATGTAATTATATATTAATATATTCTATATATTTTATATATAATTTTTTATGTTATTATATAATAATATTAAGTAATGATACAATTATACATGATTATATATAAATATATATTAATATATTGTATATATTTTAGATATAATTATATATTATAGATTATATAATTATATATAATAACATATAACATACATAATAGTTATTATATAAGCTATATACATATTATAATTCTTGTATAGTTGTCACCTTTATAATTGTCACGACTATGTATTTTTCTCCGATTGTGTTTCGTGCATCTCTGCACGAATTCACTGAATTTGTTTCTCGAATTGCTCGAATTTTGGTCGATCTCGTCGCGGAGCAGCTCGAACCAAGCGTTTCACCGTAGTAGAATAACTTTGCCGAGTTCGCCGCGGAACGTCGTCCGTAAGCATGATCCCGACGGTACGAATCGAGTTGAGAGCTCGGCACGCAGGATCGGTGGGACGCGATCCGCGATATCAGCATTGATTCACCCGTGTCGTCGGGAAGCGCCAGGGTCACGTTCCCCTCGATGCCGCGTGCAGAGATACCGCGAGGATGCCGCCGAGCGATGACAGAGCGATGACCGGGCGAGCGAGCGAGCAAGTGAGCTACTGTCTCTTCCTCAAAAATTTAATCTCCTTACCACCTTCGCGCCCCCGCCGGCGCTGGGTCCTTGTTGCAGGCACTGGCACTCACCGTCATATGGGAGCTCTCCTGTCGTTGCTACGTTCTGACTATAAGCAGCAGCATCCACCATCGACGAAGAAGCACCGTTCTTCCGCGCCGACGGTGATGACGCGTTCCTCCATAGCTATCACGAACAGACGGGCGAGCAACAGCAATGCTGGCGACCATAATAACTACGACGAAGGCAGCGGCGGTGACGGTGGCGGCGGTAGTGGCGGACGTAGCGGAGCGTCCGCCCGTGAAGTCGTCTTCCCGGACTCGTTCGAGGTGTTACCGCAGCCGCACGATCTCAATGCTGTCTACATGGGTGTACCTCATGAGCAGCAACGGAAGTTCCGTTGCCGTTTCTGCGGTAAGGGCTATCGCTGGAAGAGCACGATGCGTCGCCACGAGATGGTGGAGTGCGGCGGCAAGCCGCCGGCTTTCCAATGCCCGGAGTGTCCCTACAAGGCGCGACAGCGCGGCAACCTAACCGTACATTTTAAACGGCATCATCAGAAAATAGTTTACGATGAGAGCGTTTAAGGACGTGAACGCGATCGGCTGAACGCACTCTCGTAGGTCTTCCTCTATCCACATTCAGAGAAAGAATTGAGGCTCAGACACAAATGAAAGGAATGAGGGACAAAGAATTCAATATAAGAGAATTAGGAGCGAAGAATTAAGTTTCAATGTATGGATAACCGTGCTCACAATAAAGGAATAGGGAACTAAGATTGAGAACACTGTCGAAATTCTATTTCTTATAACTTGTATACGGGAAATAAGAATTAGCTGCCATAACTAAAACTAGCTGTCTATATAATGCAACTGAAATTTACCAAACCTAATTACTAGCTGTGAGAGCTAATTATTAGGACTATAATCGACGATTATTAATCGTATACAGCTATAATTATAGGGCTGCATTCTTGTAAATTCCTACTCGACAGATCCTACTTAATTGACCAATTAGGACAAAAAGAACTAAGATTTCTTTATCATAATTGGTTAATTAAATGTTATTTCATCTTCAGAATGGTGTTTTCGAACTTAGTCGTACATGGAAATAAAAAATTAGCTCCCATAACTAAAAATTATGTCTGGTAGCTAAATTTCTGTTTTATAATATAGATAACTAATTTTTAGCTGTGGGAACTATTTCTTTTTTTTTCGTATATATTTACAGAGCTTATAGTAGTTGATTGAGAGTTAAACTTTAAAATATCTGATATAATGAATAGATGATCATTAATATACAAATGAAAGTCAGCTTGATTTGAATTTGATCGATCAAAAAAATGATAAAAAGATTAATGATGACAGTAGAGGTTTTCTAGAAAATATAATGAAGAAATGGTGATTTTGTTTTAAAATGTTCTTATACTTTATTCTCAATTCCTTTTTTATCGTGTCTTAAACTATAGCTTATTCTTAATTTTCTATATTTAATTCCTTGTTCCTTATTTCTTTCATTGTGTCTAAGCCCTTAGTCGTAGGAGCTAAAATCTAGCTATGACAGTTAAAATGGAGACAGCTAATGTTGTTGTCACCGTAGCTGATAAATTTATCAGCTGCGGTAACAACGACATTAGTTATCAGAGGTAAAATGCATTTGCTAGCAGGCGCAACTATTATTGTTATTATTACTATAGGTACAACTATTATTATTATTATTACTATATCGCTTTAATTCAAACAGTTAATATTTAACTACTAAATACTACAGTAAAACTTAGCTGCAGTATCAACGTCATTAGCTGTCCCTTTTTTAACTGTCATAGTTGAATTTGAACTCCTATGACTAATTCTTTTTCTGAATGCACAGCGTGGATTCGTATTGATATTCGAGCGCATCGTGGCACCTACTCTTCACGCGAAGAATGATCGCTCTTATCTGTGTTATTCTCCACCATGATCTGTTGAGCGATCGTTTCTTAGACATGATAGAGCGAGTATCAATGCGAGCCCATCTCGGCGAAAAACGGTCATGCGAGGTGCATGTGCTCTTCGGCACGTCTTACGAAGGACGCTCTCGAGTTCACGATACCCCTCTTTCTCACCCTCTTTTACCTTCCTAGATTTTGCGGTCAGAATATAACCGACTTCGGAGATTGATAAAAGTAACCGGGAATTAATATTTTTGGCTTCAAAGAAAGACTCATCAGTCACTTTAATAACAGACTCTGTTAGATATAATTAATTTTAAAACTAAGATTTAAATATCTGAAGCTTTAAGTGTTTTAAAAACCTTCATTAAGTTATTACATACTACAATTACAGATGATGGTCCTTAGTTTATTTTGGTCCTTAGTTTGTTTTAATACTCAAAAGCCGCACATTTATATGCGATATTATCGATCAAATTTACACAAAGTCAAGTCGCATGCAAAGGCTGCATGTATTTGTCCTACTGAGAGAGATCTGCTAACAGTGATAACTACTACTATTGTAAAATATTCCATGGAGATAGAAACGTGTGTTAGTTTGTCGACATTTTTATGCACGCAATACAAGTACTAGTCGACGTGAGAGCGTCCTTCGCGAGAACAACTTCGCAACGATTCGGCACGATTCGAGCAAGTGTTTGAGATATTTCTTAAGAATCATACACATATTTGTAACCGATCCTCGCGAAGCTGTCGACGAGGATTCATTGATTTCCGACTTCGTGCGCTTTGCTTTCGATCTTTGCGCGAACTCGAAATTTACACAGACTCGTAATCTCATTTTCACTTAGAGGTGCACTCGGTACACTAAATATGGCCGTCCAATTCTAAGGTTGTTCCTTTGAACGGACACAGGGAGATCAGTATACAAAGACGAGATCAGAAACGGCCAGCCGTATTTAGAAATCCGCGGGCGAGTCCGTACGGGCTGAAGCGTTCGAATTTATTTATACAACGATGGGTTATTTTAAAATAACACTATTGGCCTAGTTTTACTTGTTGGGGTTGGTGATAAATTAGATAGTTAGTAGCTCGTGTAACTCCGTTAATTTTTAATTCGTAAGCACACGCGACGACACATTCATTACGTATGACCGATCATTCGTCATCGAAGAGATCATCAGTCAGTCGATATTCGTGACGCAATTATCATCGCGACCGTTTGCCCTGATATTTACGTGTCGTCGAAGATACTTTGCATCGACGGAGATCGCAACATTCCAAAATTACATTTCGGAATCCGTTTCTCAATGATCGCGAATGCGTGTCGAATTTCACAAATCCAGTACTTTTTTCCGTGCTAAAAATATTTTTGTCTGTTTTTCAGATATTGACGAAATTTGACAATCGTTATTATCTATTTACGAGTTAAATTATTGCGCCCAAAATGCAGCGGTGATGTTTATCGGCTTAATATTATTTAATAGAGAATCTACTATACATATAAATTTTATTCCAAAAGTAAAAACTACAGTCTCGAGTCGTGTAATCTTGCAATTTTGTAAAATCTATGAGATACACATTATTAAAAAAAAAAATCGGTATCTTGAAATTCGGTATCACCATTAGATTTTTTTTTAATAATACTTATCCTCGATAGATTCTTAAACATTAACCGAAATTTCATGGTCAAATTTTTTTGTAATATATTTCTCTCCTTTCGTCAGATGAAAACCAACATTAAATATTTAGTTTAATATCAAGTCCATCCAGTGTATCTATATATATATATATATATATATATNAAATGTAAAGGAGAAAAGTAAAGTAGAAAATATATGGATTTTAGTATACGGGTGCAATTTAATCGGTAAAATTATTTTCTATCTCCTAAAAAAAATGAAAGCACCAGTCGCGTGTCGTCAACAAAAACTACGATGTTCGATGATATGGAATCACGGAGAGAGGGTAGTTCACACAGTATAAGAATTAGATAACACATAAGCGAAAGAGCGATTACGTCTCAACGACGGAATTTTTTTATCCTTGAGCCTCTATCGATCAAACCGAATACACTTTAGCCGAACGATACATTTTATTCGAACGATCGACGAGAATCTCCAAAGTGCCTTTCACGAGAAATCGACGGCCGGGAAATATGAGCCGAAGTCGCGCATTCGTTACTGGCGATGTTCGCGGGATACAATCACCAGTAAATCGCGGTTACCTGAGAATGTTTAGGATTACGATAGACAATAATTATCCGTTCTTCCAGCCTCGCGTTCATGATCGCGGACGCGAGTATGAGAATCGTTTCGAACATATTTATGCATATTACATTTGGACGTACCTTTCGCATACTGGAAAGATTGCGCGCCTGATGCGCATCCTAAGCATTTCCAACGGGACGGGAGGGACATGCCGGCCGATAGATGACGGGTCCAATTTTTTTTTACCAAACGTAATAATATATTTGTGTAACGTATAAAGTCGCGAATAATGGGAGAAGGAGAGGGGAGGAGAGATTTACGTTACCCATCCGAGACAAAGTACAAAGATTCGCATTTCGCAATCGCCTCGCGCGTGTCTCAATCGGCGTAGGAAGATTAGTATGACGACGGCATAATCAACTTAGAGAATTATTTTACTGTATTTCTTTTTTTCTTTTATCGCTCCTCTACGAAGATTCTCTCTCAGGAGCTTAACGAGAGCAGCACGTATCTTAATTACTCACGATCGTATTTGAAACGTGATCCTCGATTATCGTTCATCGTTTGCCCGTAAAAGAAGTCGCAGCTTTGATAAAATTTTTTGAGATACCATTTTCTAAGCTCGATCGCGAGTGCAATTTTGACAAGAGTTGCGATGATCGGAGAACACGGCGATCGCATTGTATAATGTTAAGCACCACCTTGTACCTTTAGGCGATTTTACGAACGCAGCCTGCGAGAAAGACTTAATCACGGAGATGGGTTGATCTCGTGATCCTAGAAGTTCTTGCGTGCGCCTTATTCAGATCCTAGATTGGCGATATCGTAATAAAGTAGCGATACTTCGCATCGACCTCGTTGTCAAAGAGAAGATAGAGATCGTTATCGATATTATCTCCAAGATTTATATCTTTTAAGGTCAGGTATATATGTAAGATCATCGCGTTCGCAGATTAGTATGCGACAGGCCTAACATGATCATTTCCTATCAATTTTATAAAAATAATTAAGTAGTCAAAATCGGAGCCAACGGGCGATATTTGTGAAAGTTTAACGGAAAGACGCTTCTTAACTTTTACATACAAGGGAAGAGTGAGAGATTGAAATATAACAAATGAAAGAATTAGACGAAGAGAGTGAGGTGACTTTAAGGAGAAATGTAGTTGCTAAGAAAGTAGTTGTAATGTTACGTTGAAGTAAAAATTACAAAAAGAAAAGGATAAAAATTAGTTTTGGACTTAGCGAAGTAGACTGCACAATGTTCGAAAATTTACATCGATTACACAGATAAAATGCGTTTGAAATTGAACCCGGATAGAAAAGCGGAGATCGAAAGTATCGATACTTGTGCGGTATCATAATAACTACATGTTAACATCCCTACGCTGCGAAATTCACAGGTTACGTACTCGAGTTGTAGTTATGCGATTTTCGGTACTTACATTCCACTTTCGTTTCTTCAGCCTTCGCTCCAACACATTTTTATCGGAGAGAGCGAACTTGCTGGCCAGCAGTATAAATACTTTTTTAATTCAGGTTATATTTTGAGAAATCATCGACTAACACATTTCGCTGATAAATACATATTTGCGAGCTCAGTGTCGATGATAGATACGACTACCGGTGTAAAATATTGTCGGTGACATGCGATCCATTTAATTTATGTAATTTCTTCCAGCGCAAATCGATGAGATCGACCTTGTCGTGCCGCGCAGGATATACTTGTAGGTTTATATACAAACGTTTCTTTCACTTTTTATATACATATACATATCATTTATACATACATACATGCGCGCACACGCGCGCGCACACACACACACACACACACACACACATATATATATATATATATATATATATATATATATATATATGTAAGTTAGTGAACTTTGGTTTTGAAAATTGTAAATGAACTATTATAAGAACACACTAAATATAGCAAAGCTCTCTCTTGATGCTAAACATAATGTACAAAAGAATGTACAACTTCCTTTTGGAAAACTCTCTTTGAAAACACAATATGTATGTATGTATTAGATATTTGTATAGGCTGTTACACGGAATTATTATCATTTTCTTCATGTGCCGAATGTGTGACTTATTTTAGAGTCGAAACTTCATTCGTATTGATATCTAAAATAATATCTACGAACGGTAAGCTATCTGGAGAGAAGAGTTTACCGCAATTTCACCTCATTGTTTGGATAAGTTTTTGTCGAGAAAGATTTCTTTCTAGTTAATTAGTGGGATTAATTAAAGAATCTGCAGATGGGGAAAATGGCGATAGTTTCACTTAAGACACATGAATGAACATAGACACACGCACACACACACACATACACATGTCGGGAGAAAGAGAGATACTAAGAAAGAGAACGAAAGTAACGTCGAGAGTCGACGCACGTCCGGTCGTGGGACGCGCGTCAGTATTTTTGATATCAGTATTTGTGCGAACGCGCTTGTGTATTTACCTGCCTGCGAGACAACGCAGGGTATACTCGTTGCATCTCTATCCATAGCTCTTGTCCTCATGACTTTCATCATGAGCGCCGGTCCGATTCCGACGGCCTTCCGCCACCACGGAGTTGATCGACCTCATCATTCCAAGACTCTTGTTACCGAATTCTTATCTCACTTAATATTTAAGTACACATTTTACTATATCGCCAACATCTCCGTCTCTCTTTTTAGTCCTCGTTTAAGGTTTTTTTTAGCGTGTCAAGCGAGGAAGGGGCGAGCGCGAGGTCGTGCCGGAAATCGTGAGTTCCCCTTCGTTGCATCTCGGTTTCGATATCTGACATTCCGTTTCCCTTTCTTCTTTCCTTCTTACTCGACAAGTTTTATCAGGCGAACTAAGAATGTCTATCGCAATGATTTTATTATTAATGAATATTATATATAATTCTTATTATTATTAATATTATTATTATAATAAAAACACTCTCTTTGTTGCGGGTTATTTTCTAAAACCGACGTGTTTGTTTTTTCCACCAGATATTCACCTTTCACTTTTTGTTATTGATAGCGATTTTTATGCGTCATTTTAGAGGGAACACTTTCGACGAGATAGCGACTACATTTTAGTACTAGTCAGTAAGATATATGGTATGCATATGGTAAGAAGTTAAACCGTCGTTTAACCGATCGTTTGTGCGATCTACTCGAATATTTTTTTTTTGTGAATATTTTGTTAAACTGGACTTTTTCTAATCGCATCAGAGGTTTTCTAATAAATAACCAGTAATTCTATATAACGTAATCTAGACAGTTGCATTCGGCAACTGTAGGGTATAGATATGGATCATTGTTTCATTTTAACTTCTATGAAAACTGTGTTTTCGCTCCATAATAAAAAAGATATAGCACATATGGATTCCAATGTTATTATTATATATGCATGGGTGAATATGTCAAGATATATGTTTACAAAATATAATATTTGCGCGCATGTGATATAAAATGCTAATTTTAATTTATTGTTGAAGTCGATTCGATTATCATATTAAATTTGATTCTTCTATTTCTATTTCATGTGTATAATCTGAAAGTAAAATAATGAAATATGTTTGTCCCAATTTTTCCTGCACTTTATAATGGATAAAATATTATCTTATCGTATAATAATCATACTAAAGAGACAATCCATATATAAGCAAAATATTAAAACAATCTATATTTGAATTACAAAAGAATATTGATCTGTAGAATTGACTATCTCTTTTATTGTGGAGTGTAAATCTTCAAATGAATGAAATCATAGATATTTCTTTCGTGTACCATGGCTTTAAACCTTGATTAAATAATAATACAAATATATGAATTTATTAAGGGCGTACATAAACAAATAATCATTACAAATTTCGTTAAATAATCTTTTGAAAATCGTATTTTAGACTTCTTGAATAACTTTTAATAGTGTTATTAGATTTTCCTGCGATTTTGTTATGTAATTTGGATAACTTACCTTCCTAAAATGTTCTTTTTATTTGGTATGTCTTCAATCTCGAACTTTGAAAGAGAACCGGTATAGAGAGAGGAGGAGAGAGAGAGAGAAAGAGAAATATTTGGAAATATGCATTATTTTTTCGTACGTCTCTCCGAAACGTTTATATATTTGCATCATTATTGATTAAGTTTTTTGTAAGCAGCAACCGCGACATAAGCGCGTCATTTCATTGGTAATTTCAATATTTGCCTTTCCAGTTCATCTACATTTCTGTACATTTACGAGATACAGCACATCTCCACATGTGACTACCTTTACCAAGTGGCAGTCAATGTCTTCGAGACATCTTTATAACTGAGATATCTTTGCTTTCAGTAACTTGGTATCCGCTACCCACCAGCTTCCAGTTGTATCCGTGCGATACTTGCGGCAGGCAGTATCGCAGTAAGATCTCTCTTCAACGTCACAAGAGGCTGGAATGCGGCAAGGAAGCTCAATTTAGCTGTATCCTATGCCACGCGAAATTCAAACACAAGCACAGTCTACTGAGGCACTACAATGTCCACATAGCCGACATGAAGATCACGAACACGTTTGAAAACGCAGATAGATCCACCTGATGAACGAAGTGGCAGAGAATCTTGTATGCCGAAAAAAAATTGCGAGGAAATATAACGAGATAGTAGAAATTCGATAAACCTTAGGAAAATACGTTTACATACATTTAAGCGTGAACGATCCAAAATTGAAGTGATTAACAGGAAGAAGCTAGAAAGCTAGAAGCTAGAAAGTTCGCGAAATATTGCGAAGTTAAGCCAAAGCAACGTTTAAATTATATTTAAAGACTGTGTGTCATTTTATTTAACTGCTCTTAGAATGTAATTATCAGCAATATTGAATTCTATATATGTTCCTACACTTCTTCCCCTTTTACAATATTTTATACATATTTATCATCACTTTGGAATGTAGAACCTCCTAATACCTCTTTTTTCCATTGTCTTACAAATAAATTTCCATTGCTATGGTACACGAGAGGCAGCAGTGAGTGAAATAGCTCTTAAGAATGTTACTAACGAGCATTTTGTTGCATTGTGTAATATTCTAAAATATATTGTTGATTGTTGGATAAGTACTGAAGTGCTACAAAAATTAAACAGGTTTTATAAATAAAATTGTTATTATGATAAAAGTTATTTTTTTCAAGTGAATGTCTTAATTTTTCGAAAAACGTAAAATATTAAGTGTATATAAGATGTTATAAAAAAATTTGTTCAAATTGTGTTTATTTTGTGTTGATCAACAGCTCATATTTTTTATATGATTGNTATATCTACTTTATATAAAACTTTATTAGTTTTATATATGATATATATATGATATATATATATGTATATATATGAGTACTATACATATTACAATGAGAATTTTTATGTTAAATATAAATTATTTATATGTATTAATATAAATAATGCGATTGAAGAAATACACACCGTTAAAAAACATCCATCCAAATTGTTAATTGCTAATAAGTGTAAAAGAAAATGTTAAGAGATTTTAAATATTTTTATAACTCCTAATGACAAAATATATTTTTCTAGTTGTATATTTATTAAGAATTGTTTGAATTTGAAATAGAATATGTATGTTTGCTTCCGTACTCTTCTTATACATATTTATATTTTCTCGCCACGTAAAGCTCAGCGGTCTAAAATACGTAGCATCCATTATATTTAAAATCAGTTAGCGGTTATATTTAGTACACACTTTTACAGGCTATTATTGTGCTCACAAGCATCTTGGTCGTTAGACATTTAGCTACTAGTTTATATATGATGGGTTGTAGTCGATCACTTTCTGGATTCTTAGCGACTTTATATCGTTCCGAAAAGTAAAGACGCGAATATGAATATAACAGTGGCAGACTCTAATTTTTTTGCTTCTTATTCTTATCTTTTATTAAACAATATTATAGTTACTTTTTATCCGCGTTTCTCTATAACGATCAAGTTATATTTAAAATTTCTTACAGGTAACTATCAAATACTGTGTAGAACTCAGCGAAGAAAATTATAACTACATAATTATCCATTATTTAACATTTAGAGATCTTATAAGTTCATTGTAATTATGTGAAGAGTGTCCTGCAATTCAGAAAATAGCTCAGTGCCTCTTTAATTGATCGAATAAAATTTTATCTTTTACCAATTGTAATAATCTTCTCGATTAACTATCTCTCCTTGAATTACTTGATTGTTATCAATTGTAAGCCTTCTTGTGCCTGGAACATTCACTTTATCGATTAATCATTGTTTCAGGTCCTGCTAATCCGAATATGATGTATCAGGATGTTCTTCAAGAAGGATATTCTTCAAGAAGTTTTTCCTCAGGTATATTTGTTTATTCTTTCGAGACATCGATCTATGTTTATTTTTTTGTAGATGTGTTAAGAATGGATTGTTTACATTGAAATGGAGAAGAACGCGATTTTTGTTACTTTTTGGCGTATTCGGAAAAAAACGGATAAAAATCTTTATGTGAATTAATGATCATTTTGATAATTTGGTAAACATTTGTGCGGCTATAAGGAATTTTTTTCTACGGTTTTCACATGAGACAGCGTTTATAGTTGTTTCGCAAAATTTGACTAAAATTAGGGTTTAAAACAGAATTTAACGTAATATTAAACTAATAAACTAATATTAGCGTAATATTAACGTAACTGTAACATTAACATAACTGTAATATTAACGTAATATTAAATTGTAATATTATTTAATTAATTAATTAATTTTTTAATAAATAGCACTATGCGTAAAAATTTAAATTAGGGTAAGTTGAGATAAAATTATTAAGCTTTAGAGGGAGAGAAGGTTCTACTTTTTGTTCAGTTTTTTTTTTATTTTATTTGGTGGAAAACAGATATGCAAGATGATACATGGAATGTGCATCTTGCATATCTTGCATATCGATGTTGACTGAATGCAAAACGAAAAGAACGAATAGTGATNGTTGTTTCTCTTATAACTTACTTTTAATGGCACTTTGAACAGATTTTATGATTGTTATGTAATTTATATAACAAACGGATGATTTTTTACGTTAAAGCAAGCTGAAAAAATGTGGACCAATTCGTAAGATATTTTTCTCTAAAATCTTTCATGTGCAGAATGTGACAAAATAACTGACTAGAAAACATATAGAAATGTCCCTTATTAATTTTGATAGACTTTAGGTATATATTATTCAGCAGTTAAAAATAAGAGATACGTATTGTTTTACATATGCTGTTTTATAAATTCAGAAATTGAAACAACCCTTTGAAGACAATTTAATAAAATTAATTGTGAGTGATTGTTTTTAAAACTGTGTGATATATAAGAAAATGTTTCGGCTAGTAAAACATTAAAAAAATATCTTAGACATAAATTTTATGGTATTCAATGTGCTTTATAATTTTGTATTTCAATTCTTCAAAAATGTCATATAAGATTGCTGAAAAGTGATATTTTTGACAAATCAAAATATATAATTATAAAAAATATTAAATTTTATAAAATTGTTGTTTACAATATTTTTTCATATATTTTACATGATTTCGTAGATATTCACTTACCATAAATTTTATTGAAGTTTTTTCGTTACTAAATCCTAAATGTGCAAAAAAATATAGGAAAAGGAAAAAATATAGAAAAAGGAAAAATATATATCTCTTATTTTTAATTCCTTTATAATATGTCCGAAGTCCATGAAAATCTATGAGGATACTTTCCACGTATTTCCTTACAAATTGCTATTTCCTTACAAGCGAAAATTGTAATATGATTATTATAAATGATTCATCTTTCGGCATTTTGTAGCAATAACTAGCATTGTTAATAAATTTGTTACCATATAATCTCAAAATAATATTCTTAATAAATTTGTAATTCGTTATTACATTAATTAATTAACTTTTCGTAGGAAATGCTAAAGCAACATAACACAACTCACCCGGTACGAAAACTGTAGTATACAAGATCGCAGTGTTCGCACCTCGTTTAAAACTAGATTTTTTTTTCCTTTTTAATTTACAGTAGAATTATATTGCTATGAGACTCTCACTTTCGTACGAATCTCATGCAACAGGCAATTAGCTTGCAGTAATTATTCACATACGCTTAGCAGTACTCACGCATTAAAATTCTACGAACCAATTGAATGCAGTCAGAATCTGAAGTACATCTATGATTGTGGTACCTACGAAATACGCAGATGAGGTGATTTGCAAAGACGTAAGGCATGAGTGTAATCATGATTTCAGTCAAGAAAGTAAAAATTTATTTTTACAGGAAGTTAAAAACTTAGCCATTAGCATACTTATGTTAAGCGGTAGGACATTTCGGATAAAATATGTCCCTAAGATCAGGAAAGAAATTACTTCAATTTCCGTAAAATTTGGTGTTCCCAGAAACATAGCAAAATATGATAGCAAAAGGTCAATGCCGCTCAAGAGGTTAAAGCTAGTTTTCGGGGATCTTCAGTAAATTTTCTTAATACTGATTCTTCCAACTTTTCTTTTTGCGTGTACTATTTTTCTATGTACACTTAGCACACAGTCCACTGAAGCTATTTTTTATTGTTGACCGTAACCAAGTTTTCATTCTTCGCACTAAAAGACCTCTCAATAGTGGTTATGCATTGTTGAGCCGAGGAACGTTTGAAACTGAGAAATTTTTATTACAATTACTTTTATAAAATATTGCTTTATTATTAGTAATATTTTATCATTAGTTTTTAATTACGGAGCATATATTGTAGCTTTTTAGTAATTTATCAATTACATTTCTTTATTTTTACAATTTTCACAATTTAATTGTTTTTTCTTGCTAAAGTGCAGGGGTGGACATGCTGTTGTAATCGGGGCCACTTCTAAGTCTGTGATCTTAATCTAATGAATTTGTAACTTCGAATGAGTTTAAAGTTTTTTATCGAATTACTTGTGACAAAAAATATTTATCATGAAGTCAATTTTGAAGTATGATTGAACGTGTGATTGGGAGATTTTATACATAATTATGATTATGTATAAAGAGACTCTACATATAATTATAATTATGAATTAATGAAGTCTAATTTTGCAGTATATGTACTCATATCTGTCTAAACGTTGAACGTTATAAGACACAATCAAATTTTATTATTTCGATAATGCTGATAATTGAATAAACGAAGCTGTACTATGTAAAGCCCAGATTTTACTTATTTTTAAAATTATAAAATATTTACATTTATTTTATTTACAAAATTAATTAATTTGGACGTTGTTGTGATTTCGCTCATTATCACTTTGCAAAACGGCTCACGGCGTCAATTCATCGGTAACAGCCTTCGTATGTGTTTCTTTCAGAATGCTGTTACTCGGCTACCTCCGTATTGGACGAGCCAATTAAAGCTGGTTACGACAGGTACGACAACCACCTAGCGTTTGATATGTCCAGCTTGAATCAACATCAGATCACTGATAGTTCCAATCAAGAACCATACTTGGCGGATGAACGTTTCAATAAAAAAACCAAGTACATATGCATCAAGTGCTCCTATAGAAGTGAGAAGAAATACAATATGCACAGGCACTACACTAGGAAGCATATACCATCAACGTTTTAGACAGGACAATGGTCATAACTCAATTCGAAATTTCGACTCAACCTGTTCAATATTCTTCCTCTAAACTGTAAATCGAACGCAGGAGCTTTGAAATGCGTTAGATATGATCGAAGTTTCCATTTGGGAAAGATATTTGTTCCAATCGAGACATATTTGCGATTGAATAAGAGTATAGATTGCTCCTATTTTCGACATTGTTTCCCCCCCCCCCCCCC